CGAAACTCCCTGTTTAAATTTTCGAGTAACTTATCTACTAATTGATTGTGAGCGGAGAGCGACCTTTGGTACCAATTAAAGCATATTCTAAAAACAAATAACCATGGGGATGTCACTAAGAGTATTATCCATTGCCTTCCGAAGTTCATTAAGCGTATCAGAAGGTCCATGAAAACCAATTTTGAAACGATATGTGCCTGAGGTGTCTCCGCATACAATGTTAAAAGTGCAATGGTTGATGACTGATTCGCTTAGCTTAGGCTATCTAAACGGATTTTTCAGATCTAAAGAGAAGAAAAAAACTTCACCTGGTATGTTAGAATTGACTTCTCGGGCAGCTACATTCAGTTGTTCCAACAAATTCGGCATTTGGTTTGGGTTTTTTGAAATTTGAGCGTATATAGGATTGGCGTCCATTGCTACTTACACTGATCCAGCGTTCTTTACCGTGATGACAACGGATGCTACAAAGTATTTGCTTGTGCAACTATTCAGCTTCACGATATGGCCTTCTTTGATGAGACGTCTAGTTCCTCTCGTACTTTTTATTGATTTTGTTTCGGTGCCCTTCGACCCTTCTGCTGAATTAGAAAAAGTGTCGTTTTAAAAGTTTTCGAACACGGTGATTCTTCAATCTTCCTAATCTGGTGAAGCTACCTTGCATTTACTTACAAAGAAAAAGTTTTCCAATAAATAAAGGTATCCGTCAATTCGTTTTCTTCTTCTAAAGTTTTGTGTGATCGGGATTGGGTCGTCTTTGCCACTATTGTGGCTTGAAAATCTAGGCCTAATAAACATCTCATTCTGTTTTTTGTTATAGATCGTTTGGCTGATTAGACTTTTAATCCTAACGATGATATATCTGTGACAGGATTTTCAAAAAATTCTACCGGTTTATGGTTATAGTCTACATAGACTACACAGGATATGTCAATAGGGAGTCAGGATTTAGGGTACTTTTTTAACTTTTTCCGGTCCTTAAGAGGAGGTGTGCTATGTTAATTTGACGAACGATGCTGCACTACCAGTATCTACAGTTGCTTGAAAATCGAACTCTCACTCTTAAAGTAACTTAAAGGCATTTGATTTTTCCTGGAACTGAGTTTATAATGTTGAAACTTTTCTATGTAAATAGTTTGGGGTTTGATTTGATATGTAAAGTAGGGGATAGATCTTTCCTCGCTGAAAATGGATGTTGGTATGTTGGGTTTCTAGGTTTAATGTTTTCAGATAACCGATCGAGGATTCACCATCTGAAATGATGACATTGATACCTTCTTCTGCTGTTGAATCTGACCCGTAGTCTAAATTTTCTTTTCTTTTTTGAGTTGCAACATCTAGGGAAATGTCCCTTTGTATTACAAGATATACAGGTTACGCCTCTCGCTGGGCTTGATGATTTGGGAATTGGGGAATAAACCTTCCCACAAAATTAGCAAGATGTCTGATTGTTGGTTGATCTGTCCAATTTTCCTTTGGAAGTGTTCTGATTTTGGGCCCGGTTTATTCTGTTTTTTGTTCCCTTTCTGAACTGATAGTGTAGGTTCCTGTTTTACCCTGAATGAAAAACTGTTGTTTTGGTAGGATGCGTTTAAATTCAGACTGTTCCCAGCTGTTTCTGCTAGGTAGAAGCTGTTGCATACCGTGTTTCTTGTAAAAGTGGCAATCTGAGGGTTTCCTCAGGGGTGCTTCCCGAAAGAATACAAAGCTCTCTTTGGACAACTTTCAATTTGCTTTTTGCAAGAAAAGTTTCTCGTCTACCTTTTTTTTGATTGCTACTGTCGAGCAACATAAGGCGGCTTGACCTGAGAGTCTTGTGAAAAAAAATTCCAATCCTTCACGGTCTGCTTGGTAAGGGTTGTGGAGGTGCATGCCTTCACATAAGAAGTTCTCCTCGTTTTTGAGTAGGCCTTCACACTGGGCAGAACTTTCCTTGAAATTGATATTGGGAAGAATAATGTGCGGAAGCTTTGGAGGAAACGTGTCACTTCTGTTCCAAGACAAAATAAAAAATGACTTGTCTCGCTGATCAACCTCATGGTAGAATACGCTTTGCCCTAACAAGGCGCCTTTCCTTCTCCTATCTGCAGTCTGCATTGATTTCATTTCCTTTTCTGACTTCTGCTTGCTCTCCGACGATATTGTTGCTACTTTCACTTTCGTTATCTGACTCAGTAATCTTTACTGGTCTGAGGGGATGGTCATTGAATACTTCCACTGGGTCAGCTGAAAGATCTTTTGGATCGCAGTGTTCCCTAAGAATGATAGCTAAAAAGAAATGGATATTCCAGAATTCCCACGTAAACGGTGGATCTGGCGTTGGCTTATGCCAAAATGCAGGTACCACCGAAACTTTTCTCGTTCCTCTACAACTTCGCTCCTAGAGGGTCGAAACTGCTGGCTGCGCCATGCGAAATGACAACCTATCCATGTGGTAACCTCATTGACTAAAACAAAATGTCTCAGTTATGGATTGAATTAGGTAGTGGAAATTAGTTGTTCATAAAGGAAAGCTTGTCAAATACTGCAATCTTTCATCTTTTAACGGTTTTTAAAAGAGTGACCAGACTCACACATTAAGTGTGGTTTTTATTGGAGACCAGTCCCGACCTTGAACTGATAAGTATCACCATATTTTACACAATTCAATCATAAAATGTCACCGCTAGACACCAATGTCTATGCCGTACCACACCGTCTACCCGAGCCGAGGTGAATAACTCATCATTTAACCATAAAAAGCCAAACGATGTCCGAATCAGTTTTTATAAAAACATTGAATTTATTTCTGGAAAATGAGCAAAACACGACTAGGCAATCAAGTAAAAATGACATTTTATCGACGAAGAGTTGTTGATCGCAAAATTTTATCCAAAAATTCAGTTGAATATTTTTATGAATTTGAGATCTGGGGACTTCCTCCATTGAAAGAACAGTTACCAGAAACTTTGCAGAAACTAGACGAGAAACTTTGAAATATTTTGTACATTGTTTGGATTGTAAGCGTAAGCAACTAAAGATTCCTGTTTGTTAAAAATAAGTTTTATGAAAATATATGTAATCGAGTTTTTTTGAGACGCTTTGGAATTTTTTTCACTTTTCCAAAAAAATAGTTTTTCTCAAAAACTACTCTACCATTTTTCACTTTTCCTTACCCCACTTTCTACAGCCCTCGAAAAGGTGTGTATGGGGGAGTTGTTGACATAAATTTTTAGAATTTTGACATTTTCTCAAAAAATACCTTCCTAAGTTTGTGATTTTGGGTCCAATGGATAAAACAGATTGGGGAAAAACTCCGCTGCATAAGCGGAGTTTTTCTCATTTCTTACGCGAACAGTTATAACTTTCGAAAAGTTACTCTCACATTTCTTACGCGAACAGTTATAACTTTCGAAAACAGCCAAAAAATTAATGTTTTGGCCGTCTTTTCTTTTCAAGCTTTTTGGTTTTTCTCGAAAATCACTCCACAGATCTGAAATTTTGGATCAATAAAACAGGTAAAAAACATAACAGAGTTTGTTTTTTATAAATAAAAACTTTGATCATAAGAAAAAAAATCAGCTTGATCAAATTCCGGGATTTTTGGAACTTTTCTCGAAATTTTATAAAACAATTGCTTTAATTAATTTTAAAGAAAATTTTGTTTCCTGATATTTGAAGCATACCAAATTGAGTAGGCTCAATTTTGGACTATAAGACTTGGTTTGATATTTTTAGTCAGTTAAGTTAAATTTTTACTTTTTTACAGAATTCCACGCTTTAATGGAAGCTTCCAAAAGGCCACGCAGAGGAACAATTAAGTCTCAACCAAATAAGCGATATATAAGTTACAAAGCTCCGATCACTATAAAAAGAGTAAGAAAAACCATTGAAACTTTTGAAAAGTAGAAAACGTAATTTAAACAATTCTTTTTACTAAAAAACGAAACTTTCTGATAATGCCAATCAACATCTGATAAAGAAACCTGAAAAACTAAGATCCTAAGTTTTGTGAGTGACTTTAAATAATCAATAACCTTGTCTAATCTATTTTTTATGACAAATTAAAAATGTTCTATCAGACTTTGCCTACTGGGCGGCAAAAATAAATTGTTATAACTTTCTTCGTTTGAAGCTCCTCTGCATATTGGCTATGCCCAATTGTTTTTCCACAAAATTTTATGGTCGTCAAAAAAACTGAAATTTTGAGTTGTTTACCCTTTTTTGAAATTATTTGTTTTTCTCGAAGGTTATCCCGCCAAATCGAACATCGTGGGTTGAAGGAGAGAACGTATTCAGGGAAAATTCCAAGCAATATTGGCTACGCATTTTGAAACTTTTTGACTTTTCTCCAAACCTACCAGCCCAAATGTGAAGTTTTGAGTTCATTCAAAAGAAAGCTTTGAAAAAAATTTTCCCTGTATCACCAGAGAGATACGAATTTTCATAAGCAAAATATTATGGCCCTTACAAAAGTCAAGGTTTTGGTTTCTTGTTTGTTTTTTAAAACTTGACCTTTCTCGAAAGTTTCCCAGTTTCCCAGCCAAGTCTGATGTCAATTTTACGTTAGTTGTCGGAAGCTTACGTGCAAAAGCTGCTACGCCACAGAAATTGTTCAAAAACATTGTACGAAAGAACCAACTAATGGTTTGGATGAAGCTCAATTTTTGAACTTTTGAAGTTACCCGTTTCATTCCGCATCTTTAAAAAAATTTGAAAATCCTCAAACAGGTATTTCCAGCTTTAGCTGGCAACTAGTTTTTAAAAAATAATGTAATAGTTTTAATGTTTTCCCATTCCAGAATCAATTGTTTTGTTAAAATCAAAGTTGCTTTTTGTCTATGACGACTACAAGAATGTGTATTCACTTCCTATCCAAAGCATCATTAACTTTCAAAATCTGGTTTTACGCTTAAATTCAAAACGCTGCACTATGACTATGTAAAACAGTGAAAGGAAAAAATAGTGGTTGTTCTCCTCAAAAAAGTGCAACTCAATTAATCCACAAGTTAGACTCTAACCTGGAAACCGGGACATGTTTTGGTCCAGTAGTAGTCAGTCACTGGTTCAAATTGATCGGCGCGGTATCCCAGAACCACGAAAGTAGCTAGAGTCAGCTCGATGTTCTCTTCCGCTACCCCAGTCACATGCTTGGTGGCGGCTCTGTAGAAGCGTATGTACCTGGCTGTGACAGGGGGTTGGCTTTGCTCACTTTGCCACAGACAGTCCAAACTCACCCGCTCTTCACTCCAGATCATCCCATCCTGATTATTTAGAAAGAAAAAATACAACCGAAAGTGAGCATCTTTTAGAATAACCAATGAGAGCATTTTTGAGGCAAATTTAGTTTCAAAAGCAGTAGATTTAGATCACATTTTAGTAGCAAAAAATGATCACTTTCAATAACTTTTCAGTAAAAATGATCACTCTCAATAACCTTTTTTTTATTTTTTGCAATCAGTTTATTATAAATTTTACTGATAAAAAAGAATTCGTTCCTTAAACTTAAGTTATCTTTTCAAACTAAAAAATGAATTTTGAAAGGTTAAGTAGAGTTATGAAGACGTTAAGCAGTCATCTTACCAAGGAGAACTCCACTTCAAATGTTGAATACTCGTGTTGAGACCCGAAATTGTCCGGGGGGTTAGCAACGTGAGATCTGACACTTGTAACATAATGGACCAGCTTCAAGTCCACTTGCAAGAAGGCTTCATCGAACTCATTCCGCTCAAGTTTCCACAGAAACAGCATGTTGCTGTAGTTAGTTTCATCTACATTGGAAACTTCCAGATTGTTGCATCCGGTTATACTTGATTGTGTGTAGTAGTTATTGCTGACGACAATCATCTCGTTTTTGGCAAGCGACCAAGACCAAACTAACTCATCTAGCTCGAAGGTATCGCTCAGCTCAAGAAGCAAATCATGAGATGATTGGCTTCGAAAGCCCTTCACAAAAAATAACAAGAAAACGATTCGAATGATGTTTTCCATTTTCTGCTCGCCAAATTTTTTGTTGGAATTTGGACCACTTCCTATCAATTTAAAAAATATATTAGGACAGCTGGTTTTTCCCTAGTAACGTGGTTTTCGACATTTGTTTTTAGCCATAAAACAAAACTCTCGGCCGGATACAAAACTTCCGCTACCAAAAACGGATGCCAGTATTTTAAAAATGAAAACAAGAAACTGCTTTGAATAATAAGAATGGATTTAGGTTTTGCTTTGATAAAAAAAAATATTTTCGCTGATATTTTCATGTTTTTGTGAATGATATACAACAAACAGCTTCAAAAATTATTCAAATCTTCAGAGAACGAATTTCCTATATTTTTTTTCTGGTGCACGTAATAAATAAATAGTTTGAATTCTTGAAATATCAATCAGAAGGAGGAGAAGGTAAAGTAGTTGGTTGCTACCGTATATGCTGAACCTTTGAAAGTCCTTTTTATTGATTTAGGTGTTTTTTCATTAGGTATCATTAGGAAAGATTGGTTGAAGTAATCTAAAATTTAGAGTCAGTTGAGAAGCATTTTTGTCGTTTTTAACTTATTTGTAATACAAAATGTTAGCCATAAATTTCTGTTTTATTACTATCTAAAATAATCCTCTCCCACTGCTCCAACTGTTTTTGTTCCGACCATTGAAAACTTTGTATTCGGGTGTGTGTTAAGTATTTTTTCTTTTTTTTTCTTATTTTTCCACGCAAAATCATCTACCACAAATAGTCATTGGGGAGAGTTGATTGGTATCAGGGGCGGATCTAGGATTTTCTCAAGGGGGGGGGGGGGGCGGATTTTCAAAAAAAAATCGAAAAATTTGACCACCTTTTTTTTAGGTCGACCAAATTGATTTTTCGAGCTCTCCCAAAGCACTGTTTTGCCCCTATTTTGGCAAAATTTTCTGCGCCGCAGGCAAATTTTTAAAAAACTAGTCAAAAAAGCCGTTTTTGGGCACTTTTCGAAAAATTTTGTTAAAAAATCGCGTTTTTTTTCTGCGCGCACTCCCCCTCAAAGTTAGTATATATTGGCGCCAACGGCGCCTTTAGAAAAATGTTAGGATTGCTGAAAAAGTATCAAAGGGGGGACCCTTTGGGTCGGCAGGGGGTCGAATCCCTGAGGGGGAGGGCGTCCGCCCCCTTAAATCCGCCCCTGATTGGTATATCATATTAAAGCCCTTTCAATCGTGATTCGAATGACATTAAAAATTTTCAGAACTCTCCCAGTATCGAGAACAAATGTTTTTTTAACTTCTGGTCTTTTGTTGAATTTCGAGCAAAAACGCGATCAAGTAAGATTCGTTACATGGAACTTAACAATTTTCTGTTTTATTACTTTGGGCTCTCAAAACTTGATTTAAAAATTAAAAAACTAGATTTTACTATCAAGATTTGTTTTATAAATTATGTCGCCTCGTCTCAAATTTCTGTGACTCGGAATTTCAACCTTTCTTTCTGGGTTGGATTCAATATCCATTTTCCAGCGAGAAAAATGGTTGTATCCAAATTCGTGTATACATTTTTAGATCCATTTTCCAGTTTGTTTCATGCAGTATTTTTTGTTCCGACACCTGAAAGTGGGGAGGAACATTGTATTCGAGTGTTTTTTAGTTTTTTTTTGTTATTTTTTGTTTTCCACGCAAAACCAGGTACCAAAAATAATCATTGGAATTGGTCGAGTGTTGTGTCATAATAAAACACTTTCAGTCGTGATTCGGAAGGCAAACAATATTCGATAAATTGTCCCAGCGTTTGAAAATGTTTGAGATTTAGTCTTATTCCGAGCGAGTAACTTTATATGGGAAATTATAGTTTTTAAAAAACTTGTAAGATACAAAAACTGATTTTGATATAGAAGAAATTAGTTTTGGATGTTTAATTTTGCGCTCATTTAGAAAAAAATGTCCTAAAAAACTATACAAGACTGCTCGTGTAAGGCCGAATCTCTGGGTTTTTTTCCTGTTTTTTAACGTCTACAGTGCAGTGATTGATTTTTAAATAATGATGAATTTTTCAATCAAAAACGAAAAAAAAATTACTGAGATTTCTCTAAAATCATTTTCGACACGCCATATTGAGTACAAAATGACAAATGCTTCTCCTAGTAATGTAACAATTCTGAAAAGTAACCTGCTTCAATCCACTTTTAGCTTCTAACATGCTTCTAAGAGCGATCAAGTCTCAGCTTACGCGTTAATAGCCCGATTTATATCGAGCGTTACTTGTTCCAAAAATACTTTATTGGCAATCTTTAAACCCTCGTAACTTAGCAAAAAAATATAACTGATAAAATTATTTTTCAGTTTGAGCTCAAGGCAACAATACCTCATGGTTGATATAACAATTTTGTCAAAAAAAATCCTATTTAAAGACTCGAAATTTGTCTGGAGAAAAAAAACCATCCGAGCACAAAAAATCCGTCACTTTCTACGAAAGTCGAAACTAATCAATTGCCGCTACTTGCACTTCAATTGGTTACTTTGTTGATCTGTGAAGAAACCTAAAGATTTTTTACCGCTTGTATTATCTAGACTCCAAAATATAATCAGAATTCAACTACGACAGATTTTGACCCTAAAAATGGAAAATTTTCTCGTACAGCAATTCTCGCACTCTCTTGATATTACAGCATTTTTTGGCCCATAAATAAATTAAAACTGATGCTTAGCTGAAATAATTTGGAGTTTTAAATCACGAACTGTTTATAAAAAAAACTCGCAGAAAAAAACTGCAATAGTTTATATGCTTCAAATTATATGCTTTATTATATGCTTTAATTTAAGGTACAAAATATGCAGCGAAACTAAATACGGCAAACTCAAATCTGTTTATAGAGTTTTTTATCCAAACGAGCGATTCGGTTGCTGGACAAGTAGCACAGAGTGACCCACAACAGCTTTTGAAATAAGAAAACTTTCAAAAAAGTTATAAAAATTACAAAATGACAAAAAATTGTCTAATTAATTGAAAATTGTTTGCCAATTTTTGTTGCTTTTTTCAGCAAGCAGCAACTTAGGTCAAATTAGAAAATGAGACTAATTGCTGCTTCTTTGCCCAAAATGAATGTGTTTTCACAAAATGTGAAGATAGCATTAGATTAAAATTTACTCATTTTTCACATAAAAATCAGATAAAAAGCAAAAGTAGCTAAGCCAATTGAAACCGTTCTTAAGCTGAAGTCAATTTTTAGAAAAAAAGTAAAAGCGATCTTCCCATAGTGTGTAGTATTGCAAATACTAGACGGACATATAGGACTATTGTTTTATTTGTTTCCTTCAGATTGGAGTGGACTACTTTCCATTTAAAATTTGTCAACCCTTTATATACTAGTCAATTTTTTTTCATTTTATCAAAGTTGGATTACGCTCAAAATATTCAATATTTTTCACAGAAACTTTTGTCAGATATCAAAAACAAAGTATGTCGCCATTCGGCTGACTCGTTAAAATAACCTGCCTTGAAGAGCAGACAGTAAAGCCATTAGCACCAGGTCCTTTTGCAGCCCAACAAGGAAACGAAGATATAAAACAACTGCATATCAAAATACGGAATGAAAAAAGACTTTTAAATTTTAAAAAAATTCAAAAATGAGACTACCGAAAACTTTCCGAAGACCGGAAGATGAAACAGATATCCGCTGAAATGAAACTTTTGAAGATAAGAGTTAGACAAAGGCACTTTGAAGCATTTTTTACTTTAAAATTGGACCGGTCTATAATCTTCATAATATTTATTTCTACACTCCTTTCAACTCGCTCAGTCGAGTTAACATTTTCCGGAATAGGTTAATTTCTTTTTTTTGTTTCTTTTTTTTTTAATAAAATTATAAGGATGTGATTCTTGAATTTTTATAAATTCCGGAAAAACAAGCGAGCAACACAAATCTAGAAGAACTGATGTCAATATTCTGAGAGACAATAGGTGGACAATTCAGTCAGTAAAATAGACGCGAACTACAGACAGAAAAATTGTTAGTTTAAAAATAAAAACTAGGTGTTGACCCAGCCCTACTAATACTAAGGACAACTGTTCCATAAATTGTTGAATCATTTTGGTTTAAGTATCCATTATATCATTTCATACTCTTTTCTAACTATAGTTTCTACTATATTTTTTGTCAAAAAATTTGACAATTTTAGGTGAGATTTACAAATAAGGCTAGATTACTAAGCAATCAACCAGCAAACTTTAGGACATGTGAGTGTTTGTCAGATTATTTTCTAGCCTCAAAAAGTAGGAGATAAAGGATGTTTTTGCTTAGAAATGCAAAGTGTTTCGCTCCTACTTGACAGACATTCCTAGCAAGGTTCAAGCGAAATGTACTCGCTGCGCTTATCAGTCACCTATATTCCGCCATCTCGAGATTACATTAGAAGTCCTTCTAACTGACACTAGCTCATGAACTTAACAATTAACTTTTATTAAACCTTTGTATATAATTTCTGATTGAATCGTTCTCTGCCTAAGTCCGTTAGTAAGGGATACATTTCTTTGTCTAGTAATCTCCTAAAAACACGCTAAAACTTCAGATAAAAGCTAGTATCATCAAATTTGGCTAATACTTCTTTATACAAAGTGCTGAAATTTTTTTAAATAATCTTCAATCATTCTTTTTCAAGGGGGTGAAGTGGTCCTATATACATGCTAAGAGTACCCTAAATTGTATAATACAATGATTCCTTCGTCCCACATTTATCCAACTATTCACATTTTGATGATATTTATTCTTATCCTTCATCCTTTAACGAGGCTTAACCTCAATTTTTTTTCAATTTATTTTAATATAACAAACCTAACAAAACTTAAACTTAAATTTTTCATCAATAAAGGTACCATTGACTGAAACTAGGGGAGGAAATAACAAAAACCTAAGAGTAGGGAAGAATTTTTTTTTCATTAAATCATTGGTTTTTTTATGTACGTTTTGTTTAAATAACCAATGAACCATAAAATTACACAATAAAACCGATTTTAAACCTCAACCACAAAGCATCAAACACCAATTTTAAGTTAAAGCATAAACTTTTAGGTTTCACAATAAAAACGG